GCAACCTCGCCAGATCGGTGCCTAATACCTCCCTTAAATTCCAAATATCCAAATAATCCCTTGTTAACTGACTTCTGGAATGAAATTTAAGTCCCACCGATGATCCAAACCTTTTTACGTTACCAAACTCGTTTCACACTCGGGATAAAAAAAGAAAACTTAAAATTTGAGAAACTCGAATCCTTGACCTTTACTTTGACACACACAAATAATAAATGACAAAAAAAAATTTTAAGCTAAATTTACAAAATCTGAAAAAAATGACTTACACGAATTGAAACACAAAACCGTCTCAGACGGTGATTCTTACAATTAAATTAAAACAAAAATGACAGTACTCACGGTGCTAATCCTTTTTACAAATGCACAAACCACCGATGCACACAAAAACACAAACACAGCCCCAGGTATGTGCTGACACAGCTACTCCAACAGCTCCTCGGCGATGCTGGCGTTAAACAAACGTTCCGCCTACTCCAGATAATGTAAAATACAACGCAAACGAAAATTTTGGTGCTAAAATGGCGTTATTGTACCGCTCGTTTCCCTTCAACAAACTCCTTCCAAAAACTTTCTTAACTCTTCGATGCCGGCGTAATCCACACGTTCCCGGACTTTCAAATAACAATAGACGATGAATAAACTGGCGTAACTTTAGCAAACGCCGCTACAATAAACTTTCCAAAAATCTTCACATAAGACAAACGTAGGCTTCGCGAAATGGTACAATAGGCGCCTTCTCTTCGCTGTTCAAAACCATTTATACCCCCGTATCGTCAAATCTCGGTGCGACGCTTTTCCATGAAAAATTCGAATATCGGGGCCGATAAAACTTAACGGTCGACTCCGCGGACCAATACCATAATTGCATAAATAAAACTATTACCGATCGTAAATCAACTTAGACTGGCACTTTTACGAGTTTTAACACGCCAAAATTCCTATGAAATTCGTTCTTAAACAACTAAAAGTTTCCTTATCTAAACCGAGGCACGTGGCGCAGTGGATGCGCTCACCGATGCTATTCGGAAGGTTGTGGGTTCGAATCCCGCTGCCGACTGCTCTGTCTGGGGGTTTTCCTCAGACATACGTAGCTTCGCATAATGCTAGCATTATGTTGAAATCTACGAGGCGAATGCTGGAGCAGTACTCTCCCCCTCAGCACCCTAACTCCGTTCCCATCCCTAACTTTACCCATCCTTACAATCCCCTTCTCTGGCTGAAGAGGGCCAGGAAGCCCTGAGCAGCCCGCCTCCGGTATCCCTGTAGTCAGGGGTGCCGGAGGAATGAAACACGTTGGCCTTTTCCTTATCTAAAGTAACACTTGTGCAAAGCGCGAGCACTCTGCTAACTTCCACGAATTTAACAATAACAAGACAAAATTTATTACATTTAAACACACTAATTACGGATTCGATTTTCCCAGACTTAAACTTCTTAATTAACTCCGGCCGAGCATTAATTGAACTAAAACAACGATCCTGCCGCAGTTGGACGGCATTTATTTACTCTGGAAAGACGTTTATTTCCCATTTTTATGCAGAGGATCGTTGTTTTAGTTCAATTAATGCTCGGCCGGAGTTAATTAAGAAGTTTTAAGTCTGGGAAAATCGAATCCGTAATGAGTGTGTTTAAATGTAATAAATTTTGTTTTGTTATTGTTAAATTCGTGGAAGTTAGCAGAGTGCTCGCGCTTTGCACAAGTGTTACTTGAGATAAGGAAACTTTTAGTTGTTTAAGAACGAATTTCATAGGAATTTTGGCGTGGTAAAACTCGTAAAAGTGCCAGTCTAAGCTGATTTACGTTCGGTAATAGTTTCATTTATGCAATTATGCTATTGGTCCGCGGAGTCGACCGTTAAGCCTTTTCGGATCCGACATTCAAATTATTCATGGAAAAGCGTGGCAACGAGATTTGACGATACTGGGGTATAAATGATTTTGAGCAGCGAAGAAAAGGCGCTTATGGTACCGTTTCGCAAAGCCTACGTTTGTCGTATGTGAAGATTTTTTTGAAAAGTTATTGTAGCGGCGTTTGCAAAAGTTACGCTAGTTTATTCGTCGAGTGTTGTTATTGTTTTTTTGAAAGTCCGGGAACGTGTTTTTACGCCGGCATCGTCGAGGAGTTTAAGGTCTTTGGAAGGAGTTTGTTGGAGAGGAAACGAGCGGTACAATAACGCCATTTTGAGCAGCGAGAGTTCGTTTGTGTTGTATCTTCCATCATCTGGAGGAGACGGAACGTTTGTTTAACGCCAGCATCGCCGAGGAGCTGTCGGAGTAGCTGTGTCAGCACATACCTGGGGCCGTGTTTGTGTTTTTTTGTGTGCTTCGGTCGTGGGTGCATTTGTAAAAAGGATTAGCACCGTGAGTACTGTTATTTTTGTTTTAATTTTAATTGTAAGAATCGCCGTCTGAGACGGTTTTGTGTTTCATTTCATGTCAGTCATTTTTTTTTCGGATTTTGTAAATTTTAGCCTTTTAAAATTTTTTTTTGTCATTTATTATTTGTGTGTGTAAAGTAAAAGTCAAGGAATCGAGTTTCTCAAATTTTAAGTTTTCTTTTTTTTCCCGAGTGTGAAACGAGTTTGGTAAAGTAAAAAGGTTTGGATCATCGGTGGGACTTAAATTTCATTCCAGAAGTCAGTTAACAAGGGATTA